CATTGGGTGAATTTTAAAAAAAAAATGGCACACCTAGAATTGATAACAATGCCTCAAATCTCAACACAAGTATTAACCATAGAACAAGACAAATTGACAGAAGATACAAATAGTGAAAAATTACGAATAGTGAAATTATGATGTACCCTAAAAATTATGTATAATTAAAATTATATTTTTTGTAATAACAGTAATATTTTGTGAGAAGTAAAAAATTATATCTTTTGTGAAGAAAATAAGCCATATTTTTTGTGAAGGAAAAAAAGTCAATTTTTTTTTATGACAAGTTAAAAAAAAGCAGTGCACATAATAGCATTTTCCATAAATTTATAATGTGCAACAACTTTCTTTACAACACTTGCCAAAAAATAACTTACTTTACAACCCCAAAATGGACATAATCAATATTCAAAAATAAATAAATATTTTAAAATAGGAAAATTTATCAGAAAGTCCTCTCACCAACAAGTGGTCCAGTTAGTCCCACATTTTTTTTAATACTCTAAGAAGTCCTATAGGTGACATCAGAAAACACGTTTTAGAAAATTCTATAGGTCCACTATGCTTGGTTTCACTTTTCAAAAAATTCTATAGTCCTATAGGTCCACTATGGTTGGTTTCACTTTTCAAAAAACACTTTTCAGAAAATTTTACTTTCTTATTTTCCGTATTTTTTATTTTTACTGATTTTTTTTAATATTTTAAGCAATTTTTAAAATTTTTAGACATACCTAACTTAGATGTATCTAAAAAATAAAAAAATTGTGAAAAAAATCTTTTAAAAATTCACTAAATACCCAAAATATAAAAAAAAAAATACGAAAATTCAATACATTTTTATGTATTTATTAATTTTTTAAAATATTTTTTCACAAATTTTTTACTTTTTAGATATATCCAAGTAAGGTGCATCTAAAAAGTAAAAAAAATATTTAAAATTTAAAAAATATTCACTAAAAATAAAAAAATACGAAAACCAAAAAACTTGATTTTCAAAAAATTCAAACCAAACACACTGATATAATCCACAAGATCCTGTTATCCAGATAAGGGGTTTTTGTTGGACGATTATGTCCCTACCGTATTAGGTAACAATATTTTGCATGATTTTCGTATACCAAGCATCCCCATGCAACTAAACATTGTTACATATGCCAACAATAAGACAAATACATACACATCTCACATTTTATGATGTGGAATCTGATGCACCGAAATGGTAATGAACAGTTCAACACACCAAACACAACAGCGACAAGTTTAACGTACACTCACCCTCACCTAATGTTTCGTGTTACATTCCACAGTCCACATAACGATCACCAAATCATATCAACAATAGTTTACAGGCCACATATGCATAACTACTGATAAAAACCCACCCTATTTACCATAAAAACCATATTAGGCCCAAATGTCACAAACCAAAGCAGTCATGGACACATGAAACGCTACCTACATTGTGAACACAAGGAGAAATCATACCAAATTGTTTTAGGGAAAATGGACCAATGTATCAAAACAGGGTAGTCAACAACGAACAACTGGATATGACAACCACATTAATTGTCACATATACTTCGAAATGTGAATGTGGGAAGAACACATACAACGATAAAACAAAAAAATACACTACACATGAAATCCTAACTACAATCCCAACCACTGACAGTCGTAACTGGAAATGTGACTCGCATCGACGTCCCATGAATTCAGAGGATGGATGGCCGAAGGTGAATGTAACTCATTTTTCTGAAGGTTAGTGCGTCAATCATCCAAATGTGGTGATCAAGCTACATATGACAACAATGGCTTCAGAAAATCGGAGGAATCTACCCAAATCGTGTTTATTTACCATTATCACTCTACATATTTCGAATTTTGAAACAAAATGGTAACCCACACGAGATTATTGGGGAATCACAATCCTCACGATTCGGGGGTTTCAAATTTGGGACTTTTCTTCCACATATGGTTTTGACACATTGGCGACTACAATGTGGCATTGCCTGTTTGAATAAGGCATCTACAATAATACCTTAGTACATTTTTTTCTAATGCATCAGCCCCAAAAACAGCAACAACTAAAAACATGGTGGTATGGATTTACTCAAACTTGATCATAATGGTAAATGGGTCATTTCACATCCAAAATGACTCAATGGATCACCAAAAGAAAAAAATACATCGGACTACATAGTTCACAAGACTAGAAATTTTCTGGTCAATCCCCCTTTAAAATATGCAAGAATTTAAGAAAATGCAAAGTACAATGAATGACTAATTACATGACCTAATCCTGTAAGTAAGCTCTGAGAGAGAGAGAGAGAGAGAGAGAGAGAGAATAGTCTTTCCTATTCTTGCATCATCAAACTTGTGTGCACCACATATCATGATCTAAAAAATAAAATTCAACTCCATGCCAACCTGTTGTGGCACTATCGCTAGTCCACAAGAATATACACTGGAGCTATGGTGAGACGAGAGAGTGCATTAGGTCTACTTTCACTGTTTAAGCTGATCGCACAACCCAATTTAACATACAAATTAGCAGGTCTTCAGGTTCAGGTAGGAAGACAACCATATGGAAGAGAGAATTTAGTAAACTGTTTGGGTGGACGAACTGAAGGAATAAGAACTTTCAGGCAACATCAAAGCTTAACCGATACTACATTAGCTCAAATACCTTGTTTTGAAGCCAAAGTTATATGGGGCAAACTAAATGGTCATCATTCCCACGAATATTTCATTGTGCTCTACATAATTTGAATCTATCCCAAGTCTTAACACAACTAATCAGATGGCACTACCTAAAAGTTTCAAATCTTCATATATGAGTTGGCCAGATCTATTACTGTTAGAGATGTCACAGATTGATAAAACAATTAACTTGAGAAAGCATTCCCTGAACAAAATTCAAGATATGTCAGTTGAAAGAAATGAATGGAAGAAGAAAGATATTGTTGCAGCGGAAGATACCTCCTCTCATGTTGTTCAAGCCTTGAATTTGTTTGATGAGAACAAAGGATGTTGTATGCACACTCTCACAAAACTGTAAGGAGTTGCAGAGAAGAGGATTTCATGTTGGAGTAGTAGAATCTTAGCAAGTACTGATCGCTAACCACTCGACCATGGATCCAACTCGTGTCATGTTGCCCTAAATTATATGTGTATTTATAGTTGAGGGGAAGACGGCTATTTTTGTATCTTGTAATTCTCTTATTATAGTGAAAATCACAGCAGTCATGTACGTAATCCTAGTGTTGGGGTGAACCACATAAGTTCTTGTATTCTTCGTTTGTGTTTGATTTATCATTTCTTGTTATTATTCTTGATTGTATTTCATGTCTCTCCGATCCAAATTAGAAGTATCTATTCCTAACATTTCAAGCCTACCATATTTCACCAAAATGTCTGTAAACAGATGGTAGTCACAATCCCTTAAATAAATAAACTAGGACCCTTGTCCTTAGTTGGAACTCCTAATAACTTCCCACTGTCAGGGAAGTTACAATCACCCATGAAACCATTTTTGTAGTGAGTTGTTTTCTTTATATACTCATAATTTTTACTCAAAAATAAACATAATATCTATAAATAATAGAACTTCAAATAATGTGTCATGTGGGCCACCCTTAGTAACCCATTTGAGACATGGCTTACATAAGCGACATGCCAAGGCAGGTTGCCACATGTTGAAGTGCCAATAGCTCCAGAACTCTTGGCTTTGAGATTTTCAAGTAATTAAGGGTTGGATTGGTTATGTTAAAGAAGTTAATAAAACATCAAAAGTTGAGTGATACCATTTGAAGAACAAACCACTTCCAACTTCCAAGATAATGAGAAGTATAGACAGAGTAGGGCAACAGAGAAAACATGAGATCTTAATACTTGAAATAAAATAGTAAATCACTTTTAATGCTTAAAAGGAAAGAGTGGGAGGAGGGGAAAAAAGCATCATGCAGACATAAATTTTCTAACATTTTGAGTAACTAATGCTCACATACAGAAGTTCTAACATTTTGAGTACAGTTTTTACGGAAAAACAAACAGACGTGTCTGCACAAGCTAAGATCAAAATGCAATACTATACAGGTTTATTCCCCAATGCACCATCTGAAGAAGTGTCGATAGCACTTAAAAAAAAAAAAAAAAACACACAAAAATAGAAAGTAATAATTCCATACATGAAATGAAGTAGATATCCAACTGCAATCTTGGTTTCATAATTTCAGGACAAATTATTGGGACATATGGACCTTACTATGACAAGCCGACACTTCAAGACAAGTGCCATATCCGTGTCGGACACACAAACACTTCGGGAACACGCGGACACGGCAGGGACACGTACGTGTCCCCTTATTTAATTAGTTTATTTTCAGGAGACATGTCCCTCATTTTCATTAATACTTTTGATGAATGTTGAATGATAATTATTTTTTTCTTACATTTAAATATTTAATAGATCATTCATAAAAAAAAGAAGAAGATATAACCTGTAAATGTTAATTTACTAGTACTTTTTTTAAAAAAAATATAGAATTAGAGTTATTTTAGTCAATATTGATTGTTTGTGGATGTAATATTAATCTATATAGCAAATAAAAATATATTTTATTGCCATGTTCCCTTTTTTTGAAATCGCCGTGTCCCAAGTCCATAGCTGTGTCCATGTCCGTGCTTCTTAGGGACCTTAACATATTACATTTCTTGATGTTGATATATTTGAAATTGTACCTTGTTTCTAGATACTTGTCACTAGGAATGTCTGGACCTTATCCTTGAAGAAAATACAAAAATTTAAGCGAACAAGTAAATGATAAAAAAATAGAATAGCAGTGAACGTAAGAATTTAACTGTCCGATGGTGATGGTTGTCCCTTTTTAGTGATGTTATACATAATCATATCATATGCACACATGCATGGCAGTGCTAAAAACAAAAATAATATTACCCAGGGTCACTCTAACCCTCAAATCTAACAACGATTTGATAAGTAGAAAGAAAATGTGTAACAAAGAAACTTTAACTGTCAGAAGGTTATAAACAAATCATCTGCGATCATTGAGTGATGGTTACTATAGCAACGTTCAGATATTGAACAGTCAAAATCAATTTACGAAACATGCAAGCTATGTAAGATATAAGCATTTATTTTAAACACCAACAACAACAGATAATTACATATAATTTGTAGTGTCATTCACCATTATATCTCACTTACCATATAACATCTTAATGATTCTCTTTTCCTTCTCGAGCAACAATAAGCTCTTCAATGAAATCAGCATCACCAGTGTCAGATGGCATCAAAATATCATCAGCCGTTGTAAAATTGTATCGTTCCCCGATAGCTCTGAGAAGCTGATAGACTTCAAACATGGTAGGCCTCTCCTTGTGAGCTGGAATTACACAGTTATATGCAACTTTAAGAAATTGGAAAAGCTCACCATCATAACCCTTCCCAGCCAAAGATTCGTCAATGGCATCGTGAAGCTTAGAGTTGCTTGAAAGCTGTGTAATCCATTCCACCAAATTTCCCTTAAAACTATCCGGGGCTTTGGCCACATAGGTCGGTCTCTCACCAGTCACCAATTCAAGAAGCACAACTCCAAAGCTGTACACATCCCCTTTTGGAGTGGCCACAAGAGTTCGTGCGTACTCGGGAGCCACATAACCCAAATCCCCAAACTCCCCATTCACAAAAGTACTCAAATGAGTGTCAACTGGATTCATGAGTCTAGCAAGTCCAAAATCAGATATCTTGGGCTCAAAATCCGCATCCAATAAGATGCATTTGGAACTTATGTTTCGATGAATTATACGAGGATTACAATTATGATGGAGCCAAGCAAACCCTTTGGCTGCACCTATCCCAATTTTGAGCCTCAAAGGCCACTCCATAGTTTTGTCACCTTCATTCACAACATGTAGTCGATCATGAAGGGTACCGTTTGGCATGTACTTATAAACCAAAAGTCTCTCCTTCTTAGTCATGCAAAAACCTAAAAGGGGAACCAGGTTACGATGCTTCACATTCCCCAAAGTAGCCATTTCAGACACAAATTCTTTCTCAGAGTGTTGAGTATCTTGCAACCTCTTCACCATAAGTGAAGTGCCATCGTCAAGTGCTGCCCTGTACATGCTTCCTGTTCTTCCTGACCCAATGATGTAGTCTTTGCTGAAGTTGTTTGTAGCCTTCATGAGATCACTTAATCTCATTTTTGAAACCGACTTCTCAAATGTGGAAAGCTGGAAAATAAAATACTTTTTTTTCTCAATACAGTATGGCTAAATGTTTAATTCAAGCAATTATGAAATTACCAAGAAAACAAATTAAATGCTCAAAATATGAATACAAAATCTTCACTGGATTGTAAGAACAATGATTAAATCAGCTTGCCTTGATGCCTTTAGCACCCTTAATACTCTTTGCCCATTTATTTCCAAGAGGATCATCTTCCTTCTTCTTTTTAGACACCCTACGCAAAAAGAAGATCATACCAATACCCACACCTAGTGCTGCGATAGACACCCCACCAATGGCTGCTCCGACAATGACTCCAGGGTGGGCACTCTTCGAAGGAGCCGGGCAAAGTGGTAACGGCTTACCGCAGAGGCCTGTATTATTCGAGTAGTCCGCTGCTGTAGCACTGATAATGTTTGGAACCTGCCCAGTCAAATGATTGTTTGTTACACTAAAAGTCTTCAACCGACTTAGGAGGCCAAGCTGTGGAGGAATCTGACCCGTCAATTGGTTGTTATCAAGTTTAAGGATATTCAGATAAGAACAATTTGAGAGGCTCTGAGGAATTTCTCCTGAAAAATCGTTGGATGAGAGATCAAGGGATGTCACATAACTGATTATTTGTGAGATATCAGGTGGAATAGTTCCAGAAAGCTTGTTGCTTGAAAGATCTAGGCCAGTCAAGGCCGTACAATTTCGAAGACCAAGTGGAAACTTGCCCTTGAGTCCCATATCTGAAAGCCGGATATTCAAGACCTTGCTCTCGTCGGGATGCCAGCAATCAATCCCGGTAAATTTACAGATGAAGCCTTCAGTTTTATTAGTGAAAATCCATGAAGAACTTAAGTAACTAAATGGGTCTTCCAATGATTTTTTTAGAGATTCCAAGCAATATATATCACTCTCAAGACCATAGCTAAAGCTCAGCAACCAGATAAAAGCACTGATACGAACAGTGAGAGGTATGCCATTGACTGCCATGTTCCTGAAGAAAACCATCATATGCTCACATGGAACTATGGATGACAATCCACTTAAATTTCTGTTCACTGCATATTAGAGCTTTAATTACTAACTCGCTAATTCTTAGCAGCCGTGATTCAAGAACCTGAAACAAATGTGAAAAAATAGGAGTTTAAAACAGCAGTCCATATTGAATTCCAAACACTTGTGATGACAACACCCCCCCTCCAACCACACACACAGAGTGCTCTGCAAGGCATTTTTTTTATTTTTTTATTTTTTTGGAGAGGGGCAGTGTGAAGCAATTAGAAGAGAAATTTACAGTCCTGGGAGAAATAACTCAACTAATTAACCTGCAAATCCTTAAATGTTAAACGGCCTACCACAAAGATACATGGAATTGAAAGAAGTTTTCAAAGCTGAGAGAACACGAGGAGAAGGTGAAGTATACCCTATTTAGCAAGCTACTTCAAATTCAAAAATTCCCAAATGTTATAAAGATGAAGATAGAATAGAAAGAACAAAATTACAACTAATTAACCAGCAAACTAATCAAGAGTTAGAAAGATTTACAAAAGGAACATATATAACCAAAAATGAGTACATCGAAAATCAATCAGATCATTTATATGAAGTACAAATAGCAACAACTAAATAAAGTTTACTCAAATTCTTATCCAAAAAAAGCATAAACTTAGAAAACCCACGAAATTAAAAACTGGGAAATTGACAAAGAATTAAAAGAAACCCACCTGAGATATGACAAACCCTAAATCAAACTCACATAACCCAAAAAAAAAGAGTTGTTGAATCAACAACAAAACATCAGTGTTTTCCACAGAAAATGAAAAAGTTCATGATCATGATAACCCATAAATCAACGAAGGAGTTGAAGAGAGAAAGCAAAGTCTATGTTTGAATTATTCAAAGCCAGCAATAAACTGTCGAAGAAGAATAGATTATAATCAATACAAACTCGGAAAAAAGCTAATAAGAAAAAGACAATTGAGAGAGAGAGGGAGAGAGAGAGAGAGTTTACTGTGTGTAAGGATGTACAGTTGGGATTTTTTTAGGGTTCAATTGATTGAGAAGTGAGTGGTTAACTGGGAAATAAATATCATCTTCGCAGAAGAAGAAGAGGCGGAGAGACAGAGTTGTTCGGGTCAAAGAAGGAACGCACCATCTTTTTCTGTTTCTATAGTTTTTTTCCAAGCAGAGCGACGACTGGACTGCCAAATGGAGCGACGACTGAGTGCTTGACCCGCTCCCCAAATTTTCTACTCATTCACATTACAAAAATGAGTGAGGCACTAAAAAGAGGAGAATTAATAGTTTTAAAGTGGTGCGGGTTTCATGTGATGAGATGTTTTGTATTTTTTTTTTAAAAGAAAAATTATTTTATTAGTGGTCAATTAATACTTCTAAATTAGTGGGATGAATCATTGTTATTCACATTACTATGCTTGTAAAAATAAGAGGCACTTTTTTTTAAAAAAAAAAATTATTTTATTAGTGGTCAATTAATACTTCTAAATTAGTGGGATGAATCATTGTTATTTACATTACTATGCTTGTAAAAATAAGAGGCACTTTTTTTTATAAATTTCTCTTTATTTATTTATATTTTATTTAAAGGTTGTTTGGGAGGATCTAAATAAGCGTACTTTTTGACTTTTTATGAAATATGAGTTGGGTTTGAAGTGATGTGTTAGAAAAGTAATGTGACTTAAATAAGATGATGTAACTTAAATAGGATAGTGACTTTTTGACTTTTTTCAAACATGCCAAACCAACCCTTAATTTATAGGGGAATTTTTTTTAGGTCCCTGGTATTAAGACTTTACAGCATAAAGGACACTCAATATTTTCATAATGTCTAAGGTCCCTCAAGTTGATCCAGAGAAAATTGATCCAGAGAAAATTGGTTCAGAGAAAATTCCTAAATATTTTCATAATTGATTAGAAGCACCGTTACAATTAGCAAAAATTGATTAGCTTCTCAAATACTACCAGAAGCACCGTTTCAATTAGCAAAGGCTCCTTCTGTTGTGTCTTGGAGAGACTCGTTTCACTTTTTGTTCCTTCTCCAGTCTCGGTAGATGGATATGTTGATGAGTTGTGCTTTTTTAGCAGGGCAGCAGTAAATCCAGCGGCTCAAACCTACAATTACAACGGTTGTGCTCTTAAGAAACGAGTAAAAATGAAAAGCCAACAACATCCATCATGTTTTATTATCAACAAAGGGAGCAATAAACTGAAACTCTAAAATCAGAGTGTATAAAAATGTAAAATCAATTTATGCTTGAAACCAGTTACCATAAAGTTGCCAAATTTTTGTGGACAATATTGAGGACTAGTTCGATCCAAACCAGAGAATTTCTCTGGATCAACACAGAGAAATTTCAGTTCAAACCATGGAATTTCTCTAGACCAATCTAGAGAAAATTCAGTTTAAAACCGAGAATTTCTTTGGACCAATCCAGAGAAAATTCAGTTTAAATCCAAGAATTTCTCTGGACCAACCCAGAGAAATTTCAGTTCAAACAAGAAAATTTCTCTTCACCAATCCAAAGAAATTTCAGTTCAAAGCAGAGAGAGAAGATCATTTCATTGAGTGAATAAGCAACAAAAAACAAATTTCTGTGTGTTTGTTTTTCTGAAATTTCACTGACTTGTCACCATTTCCAGCCTGACATATATAAATTACTGTTTTTCCAACAAGTTGGAAAATTCTTTGTCATTTCATTTTGGTATCAATGTATCACATTTTTTTTTCTTTTGGTAAGAAAAGAAAACTTTGTATTAGTATATTGAAATTTAATTTCCCATGTAACAATATTCCTACCCTCACCCCACTTTTTTTATTATGCTTGATACCTTTATCTTTGCCAGAGATAAAAACCTGGATGTGAGTCCATGGTTTATTGCATTTCAGACTTCTGGAGATTGATGCTTAACAACACCTCCTGTACCGTGGGATCCAGAAATTAATTTGATAATTGACAGATAATCATATGTGCCTAATTGTAGGTTTCTAAATATGCAAGTTGGTCAGGATGTTTCTACGTTCGAATAATCCATGCTGCCTTTGCAGCAGGCGCTCCTGAAAATCTGGTTGATATAATAACAGAAGAAGAACCTATAGCCTCTTGATTGCTTTGCCCGCTTCGCTCTTTTAATGACGGAATACTGGCAGGGCAGCAAGGGGACGAAGTCAGATTGGTGAAGCTCAGCCGTCGCCGTGAACCGTCGTAGTCTTAGTTGCACCAAATCTACACCAGATCTTTATCTACAACAAAATCTCCCGCAACTTTGCATTCGCCGCCTCCTCCAGCAGCTCCGGTTGCCATTGTCGCTTCTCTCTCTCTCTCTCTCTCTCTCTCTCCTCTGTATTTCCTCTCTCTCTCTCTCTCTATATATATATATATGTATATATATCACCCACTCTTTAGATTTGAGAGTGAGTGCTATAGTGTAATGGTAATCTCAATCACACACAGATCGATTGAGTCAAATTTCTCTGATACATGTTTAGGGACCTTAGACATCAAAAAATAATTTTATGGATCTCTTCCATTACGAAAAGTGGGAGAGGGGCCCTAGGCTAATTTTCCCTAATTTATATTATTTTTTTTATATTTTAATAAGTTCTCTGAGAAATATAGTTATTAAAATATCTCTAACAATATTCATATTTATAGTATGAATGTTCCATGACGTGAATGTTCAAACAATGATTTTATGTTAATATGTCAATATGAACATTCATACGTCAGTGTGAACATTCATACGTCAATGTGAATATGTAAAATATGAATGTTTACATCACTAAATTACTAACCGTTCAAAAAATATTTATAAGGGTAGAAATGTTCATAAAATGTTTTAAATATGATAATTAGGATTTGATAGATCAAATGTTCAAATAATAAGATTTATTAAAATATAAAAATATATTATAAATTAATTAAAATACAAACACTTAAAAAAATATTTTCTAATAAATCTCCTTCAAAACAAAGGAGTTTTGTTCATCCAAAATGATCTTTCACTTTCATATTATCTTTCTAAAGTTTGTATTGGGATAATTAATGAACACTTTCGGAAGATGAGTTGGATCATTTAAATTTAATTTTTTAAGATTTAATTTTATAAAGGGTCATTTTTTAGAAAATTTAATTTTTAAATGTTATGTTCCATTTAATTCATATTCTTTTTTAATATTCCATTAGGTTATATTTAATGTAATATGACCAAATTAACCTTTCAAACTTTTTGTTCGTGTTTTCATTTTAAAATCAATATACAATTAAAAATAATAATAGTCCATCATTTCATGGAGAAAATTTATCCCTCATTCTAGTGAGAAAATCTTTTCTTTATTTCATGGAGAAAATCTCTCATTTATTCTATGAAAAAAATCTCTCCCTTATTTTAGGAAGAAAATCTCTTACATTTTCAAACTTTAAATAGTCTATCTTTTTCCGACGTGAAGAAATAATGCTATAAACATTCACATTAATCAAAGTGTAAACATTGTGAACATCCATATTACTGGTGGTTGCTTATATTTGTAAACACATAATCATTGGCTTAATGTGAGTTATGATAAATAAATTTTGATGTGAACTTTCACATTACAAATGCATGTTGGTAAAATAACATATTGTTGTTTGCACTTATATGACTATTTCTAAATGTGAATATTAACGTTGATTAATAATGTAATAATCATAACACAAATTACAACACATTACAATGTGATAATTCACAACAAGCAATGACTCATTACAATGTGAATATTCACACCATGTAATAATCATGCAAAACTCATACAATAATCAGTGATATGGAAACATTTACATTATGCAATAACCATGCAATCATTAGTCTACATTGCATGTCATGCAACCATTACATGCTTCTAATGCTGAAATTCACATCATCAAATGCAAAATATTAAAATCTGATAATCCACAACAACAATAACTTTAGTAGATGTAAACGTTCACATTTATTGAAAATACCTACCCAATAAGCGTACACACTGATACAAAATACCATATCAATTCATCTCAAAACAAAAAGTTGAATCCAACTTTATTGAACATGCAGTTGCGAACCAAAAATGGTGCTAACCTTCATCCAACAATTCTGAACTTTGAAATCGCAACAATGGAAGAAAACAGAGCTTCAAAACTGCAACAGTGAAATAAAACAGAGCTTCAAAGCACAAGAATGGAAGAAGTTAGTATTTGAATGTTCTCTAACCTTTGTCCAACAATTCTAAACTTGAAAACTGCAACAATAGAAGAAAATAAAACTTCAAAACCGTAACAATGGAAAAAATAAAGTTTCGAACAAGGGCGGACCCAGGATTCGTCGATGAAGTGGGCTAATATTAAGGTAAAATTATACAATATATTTTAAGTATAACCACATAAGAAAAAAGAGAATTTAATAATATAATCTAGATTAATATCTAAATTTATTGATTAGAAACAATCTAACTAAATTGTGCTCGACGAGTCTTTAAAGATTCGAATTCATCGATTACAAAATCTAGATTAATTTTCAAAGTAAGGTCTCGTTCAATATAGAGAGACAAGGGCAAGAAACTCATCCTCCATTGAATTGCGAATGACAGTTTTAACATGTTTCATAATCAAAATGCTCTTTCCATAGTCGCCGTAGAAACAAGAAGGGTTGACACAAGACGAATCAATTTGTAGATCATGGTGTAATGCTCAAACTTTCCTGTCACAGATAGTTCTTAGCACAAATCAGCAAAGGTAGATATCTTATGAAACTCAGGATCACAAACAACATCAAGCTTATAATACATTAATTGACATCTCAATGCATGGATGTCCTGAGAAGTGAAATCTTGGGGATAAAATTTCTTGGCAAGATTGCAAATATTATTCACATTAAAAGATCTAAAATTGCCACTAGGATCCAAAGCCGAGCTAAGAGAAAGAAGTTCCACTACCCCATCATTAAATCTATGTTCTAACTGCATCAATTGAAAAATAATTGTAGAGTTGAATATGTCAAAGGGATAATGATGCTCAATTGTAATGTGATCTTGTTAATGACGACGACTTGTACCCTCTTCATAAGAAGAACTCCTATCATGTACCACAATGTTATGTCAATTACAAAATGGCCTCACATTTGCAAGAAAAATATCCCAATCATCTTGTCTAAGTTTTTGAAGGAGAACTTTTGTTATGGAGATTAATTTCATCGCATTTAAGATGGCTTGAGTTTTTTGTTGTAAGGCTTGACAAAGTGTATTCACAACTCTCAAAATGTTGTTTATCAAGTGCAAGACGAATATGAATTCAAAGCTCTTCATTACTTTGTTAACACCATTAGCTTGACCGTGAATTGTTGATTTGTACTCTTCTTGAGACTTTCAACAACTACACAAGATGCCTCATACATATCAATCAAGTTTCTAACAGAGTCATAATGCAAACTCCAACAAGTAGCTCCAACTCGATGCAAGGTACCAATTTGATTGGACCCTACCAAATCGACGCTCACCATTAGCCAACATATTTTCAACCTCACTCCTATGAAAAGATTTTAACTCACCAAGGCGCCTTGGAGAAGATGCAACAAGATTGACAATACAACTCAAGTGAGAAAAAAATTGCCAAACATTAGGCTCATCTTTTGCTACAGCAATTAAGGCCAATTGCAGACGATGTGCAAAGCATTGTACATAATATGCATATGGGCAATCTTTAAGAAATAAAGCTTGAAGTCCATTCCATTCGCCATGCATATTGCTAGCACCATCATACCCTTGACCACGTATGTTTTGAATAGGGAGATTAAATCGAGAAAGGATATTCGATATCTCTTTTTTAAGAGTCAATGTAGATGTATTTTCGACACCCACGATATCAAAAAACTGTTCCCCTAGCAAACTATGATTCTTGACATATCTAAAACTAAAGGCCATTTGTTCTTTTTTAGACTTGTCTTGGGATTCATCAACAAGAATACAAAAATAACCTCCTGCATCTTAATCAAAAATCATATTCCTAACTCTGTTTGCAAGTATATGCAAAATCTCCTTTTGGATCTTCGGAGAAGTGTATTTGGTATTTGTGGAGCATTCTTTAATATAATGCTCTCAAGTGCATCATTCCCTCTCGCCTTGAACTTTAATTATTCAATTAGATTACCTTGATTCAATTAAGTCGAGCTTTCATCATGACCTCTAAAACCAAGTCCTTGAAGAGCAAGTACTTGAATGGTTTCAATTGTTGCCTTTATCTGCATTCGATTCTTCAAAATCTCTTCTTTTGATTGCGCATTCAACACTTTTCCAATGTGTTGGGAGGGTTTCTTCAAATTGTCATGACTAATAACACAATAACTATGCAATGAAGATGCAAGTCCGACATGAAGCAAAAAAACACATTTGGATCTATCATTTACTCTCTTCCAACTGTTAAACCCCTCATCAACAAGCGCAGAATGACTGATCGACTTATTTGGCTGATCAAACAAAAAGCATAAAAAACAATATGCTTTATCCTTTGAAAGAGAATACTCTACCCAAAAAAATTGTTTAAACCAAATATGTTGGAATCGGCGATTCTGCTTTCCAAATGAAGACCTAGGATACTCAAGTTTAGGTTGATAAGGCCCCAAGTTCACATAAGTTCGTCTAACCTCATCCTGTTGATTAACCAGATATTCACAAATTTGTAAGCGTAAACCAAGATCTCGTTCAATAACAGTTGAATCAAATTCGCTTAGTTTATTTGCTTGAGGCATGGAAGGCAAGCACATCAAAAAATGAGGTTTCAACAACATTGGATGTTGTACTACTAGACTTCTGTTTTGATTGATAGAATGAGAAAAGGGTTTTTCCTTTTTTTAGTGGTAGAGGTTCCATTATTTATAACCTAAAAAATTTATAAAAAAAAATAAAAAAATTAGCCCTATTTAATCTTAAACCAAAGTATATTCGCAATAATTTTAAATATTAGGATTTTTATATATATCCTCAATAATTTTTATTTAGGCTTTCATTATTTTTATATATATCCAAAAAAACTCCTTCAAAGTTAAAAAAAACTAAGGGCAATATAGATCATTGAACAATGCAGCATCATAAAAAAATTAAGAGCAATATAATAATTGTTGCATAAAGACAAAATTTTAAAATCATTGTTAATCAAATCCATTCTCAACCAATGAATAAAATAATTGGTTAATTACACTTACAAAAAATGTTAGGAAAGTGGAGCTGCTGCACGCTACTGGAGATGACGGATAGAGGGCCGATGCCTATCTATTGGAAGATGTGAAGATTGTTTTGAAAGATTTGTTCTTTAAACAAATACAAACCTATTGGGCTACCTATTTATTTTTTTGGGTAAGTATTGGGCTGACTATCTTAAAAAACAAACAAAAAAACTTTTGGCCCTTATTGGGGCTGGGCTGGGAAAAACAATTTTTAGAGATTTTTTAAATTTTGGGTTGGACTGTAGCCACCTATGCCCAGCCCTGGGTCCGCCCTTGGTTTTGAACCACAACAATAGAAGAAGAAAATATTCAAATGTTCTCTCACCACCAATGTGTAAACGAAACTCCTACAAAAATGTATAATGGAGACATATCTATTAATTCCTCCAAGATCTCTAATTACTAAAACTTTCCAAAATAGAAATAACAATATATGAAAAATGTTATATTCTATTGTGTATAATACTCACTGTCAAAATAAAACAAAGGGAATAATAGTCCCAAAAAAATTATAAATACGACAAAAAAGACCTCATGGGATACAAATCTAGATACATGGGAATGGATGGAAGACAATAAAACCTTGTAGGTTTATTGGGCTATAAATCTATTCCCTTTTATAAAAATTCACGTATAACAATTATTTTACTTTTTAATTTTTAAAAATATCACTCTAAAATTATTCTAAAAAAATCACTGTGTTGTCGTTTGGCAAAAAAAAAAAAAAATTAATTAGTCTTTTTGGAGTTGAGACTTTTTTAACTTGGGATTAAAAAGTTCGTTTGACAATTTTATTTTTATTTTTTTGACTTTTATGAGAGAAAAATTAAAATGATTATGGTTTAAATATGACATTTTGTTTTATTGACTTAATTAGCCTATTTAATCTTTTGTGCTTTTTTAATTTCAATTGAGATAGCCAAAGGATTCACACTCCCAAAACACTATATGTGCATTGTCTATTTAGTCCAACTAGTGATGCAATGAAAATTTTTACAGATAAACGCATAGTAATTTGTCTTTGTTAGGTAGTTGGGGCACAAACGATAACCTATTTATTGGGTTGGGTTGGGTTGGGGGTGGTTTAGCTGCACTACTACATTTAAATTTTTTTTTTAGTTATGCTTTTTCCAAAGAGCTACATTTTTTTAAATTTTTTTTTTTCTTTTCAGTTATGCTTTTTCAAAGTTATGCTTTTTCAGAGGACGCTCAGGCTAAAAGTCCAAAATTAAATTTTCAGGTGGTCAAACGATAACCTATTTATTGGGTTGGGTTGGGTTGGGGGTGGTTTAGCTGCACTACTACATTTAAATTTTTTTTTTAGTTATGCTTTTTCCAAAGAGCTACATTTTTTTAAATTTTTTTTTTTCTTTTCAGTTATGCTTTTTCAAAGTTATGCTTTTTCAAAGGACGCTCAGGTTAAAAGTCCAAAATTAAATTTTCAGGTGGTGGAATATATGTGCTTGTGTTAACAGTATGCTTTTGAAAGTTTCCATGTGTTGAGAATATAATCAACTTTAATATGAGACATCAATTTTCAGTGAATGCCTAGAATTTCATCTAGTGGATTAGACAAAGCTCCCAAACTGTATAGAATTCTAGTTTTAGTTGCCATCTATTATTGTTGTATCGTTAGTCTACATGTAGCAACTAGACATACCAACACCAATCTACTCAATAAGTTAAATAAGTTATAGATATCAGTTTCTAATAAAATTAATTTTAGAATATTCTTATTAAAATCTGTCAAATAAAATTCATGTTGATTATGAAATTTTTTTAAAAAAAATTATTACCACTGAAATTGTTGTAAACAGTAACATGTTATTCTCACTACAACAAAAAAGGCCTTTGGTAACAGCCTGACTGTCTCCAAACATCAAATTTTCGTCACCAAAATGATCTGTGACAAATAAAGTTTGTCACCACATTTGTTGTCTATTTGTCGTTGCAAAAAGTATCTGGTGACGAAAAATCGTTTCGTCGCCTATTCGTCATTTTTGGCGACGAAAATTTTCATCTCTAAATGTTGAATTTTTCGTCCTCTATAACATCCATTTCATCACTATAATTAAATAATATTTTATTTTTAATTGTTTTGACGACAAAATATTTCGTCACAAAACATTAAGATAGAGGCTTTAGTGACGAAATTTATCCTCATCAATGATATAGATTAAGGTGACAAAACAATTTGTCACTAAAATGAGCACAAAACAAAATTCTTCAATGACAAAAACAATTTAATCACAAAATATTTCAAGTTGGGGATGAAATATTTGGCAAATGTGACGAAATAGAGACAGTTTTTTATTTCGTTGCTAATAATAATTAACATTTTTTTTAAAAATGGGGATAATATTTTCAATTTTCAATTTTTTTCACTAAAAATCCACTGCACATTTTAATAACATGTTTAACAAAATATCTATTATAGATCAATACAAAAACTTGTTCATTTTCATAAACACCACAGTCGAAATATGTCTCATAATATCCACAAAAATACAATATCAACTACAGATTACAAAACACGTCTCCTAATATCCACAAAAATATAATATCAAGTACAGTTTACTAAACATGTCTCCTAATATATATAAAAATATAAACTTTACAACGCAACCAAAATACATGTAAGGTAATATTAACAAAAACACAAAATGAGCAAGCTCTTGCTCTCCAGATTACCAAACATGTCCTTCTCTAATCTCCAATCTGCAACAAAACAAAACCAAAAAAAAGAGAAAGACAATTACTATCTTACAAATAAAATATACAATTTAACATTTTTTTAAAAGTGGATTTTTTGCCTTAGTTTTCAAACCGAGAGTCCCGTGCTAGTTTAATAAGTTTTCTCGTGGCTTTTTCATGATTTTGGGCCCCAATAGCCTATTTTCAAACCTAAGTGTTGGAAAAAGTGCATTTTTCGACTTAGTTTTCAAACCGGGAGTCCCTGTGCTAGTTCCATAAGTTTCCACAACTTACATTGGTCCCTCCCTAGGTGTTTGGGGTGTTCCCCGAGCCTTCTTGTGGCTGTTTCATGATTTTGGCCTTTGACAGCCTATTCTCAAGCCTAAGTGTTGGAAAAGTGCATTTTTCTACTTAGTTTGCAAACAGGGAGTCTCGTGCTAGTTCCGTAAATTTTCAAAACTTACATTGGTCCCTCTTGAGGTGTTTGAGGTGTTCCCTGGGCCTTATCGTGGCTATTTTACGATTTTGGCCCCTCGATTACCTATTTTCGAGCCTAAATGTTGGAAAAGTGCATTTTTCTACTTAGTTTTCAAACCGAGAATCCAGTGCTAGTACCGTAACTTTTCATAAGTTACATTGGTCCCCCCTGAGGTGTTCGGGGTGTTCCCGTGGCCTTCTTGTGGGTGTTTCTCGATTGGCCAATGGCCTATTTTCAAGCCTAAATGTTGGAAAAGTGCATTTTTCTATTTAGTTTTCAAACCGGAAGTCCCGTGCTAATTCCATAAGTTTTCACAAGTTACATTGGTCCCTCTCGAGGTGTTCGGGGTGTTCCCGTGGCTTTCTCGTGGGTGTTTCACAATTTTGGCACCTGATGGCCTATTTTCAAGCCTAAGTGTTGGAAAAGTGTATTTTTTTACTTGGTTTTCAAACCGCAATACTTTTTCTGCACCTTAACTTCATGCATAAACACCACATTCAGAAGTTCAGTGATCTCATGTTTTCAACAAAATCTTCAATCCAAGGGAACTTAAAAGAATCTAAAAACAGAAACGCGTCTGAATGTTGAAGAGAACACCTTAACTACACTAATAATTTTGGAACATAAAATTCACATAAAGATGAAACTACACATTATAAACTCCATTTTTAACAGAACCCAGTGAATTCAAATTCAAACAATTCTTGATTTATCTATGTTATTATTACCATTCAAATCATAAGAAGAGAACTCATACAATCGTTTATGAAAACAACTAGTATCAACACAAAACATCATTTGTTAGGAAATTCTTCAAAGTTGGTAGCACTTGTTTGTTACCTTCATGAAGATATCAATATCAGGATCAGGTTTAATATTTGTTTCTTTCTCTCTCCTTGGTAACTCTGCTAATATATTTGCAAATGTTTGAAAAGAATAATTAACATACTTAACATGTAACAAGTCATCAGTGTGCATGGTTTGAGCATATGTAAACAAAAGAAAATAAAACTAAACCATTCTTTTTTTCAACCATAACAGGATCTGACCCCTTGGCATCTTGTTGAAAATGCCGAGGTTTTTCTCACAGTCATTTCCCCAATATGAAGATCGTGTTAACTATTATATGAAACAGTTCTCTACAGTACAAACTCATGCATTTCATGGCCATTCATTAACACATTAACCCCATAAAAAGTTCCAAAAAAAGTAAATCGAAATAAGGAAGCATAGTGTAGGAAATGTTAATACCAGCAGTCCAGCTTTCCCAAAATTTCTTTCTCCATGAGAAGAATCTGGTACCTAACATAAGCGTTGTCTGATATAAAAATGAAGTCATTAATTAACCCACAAAAATCCTAAAATCAAAAAATTAAAATCCCCCCAAAAAACCCAAAAAAAAAAAAAAAAAAAAAAAAAAAAAAAAAGAATTGCACTTGCAATTTTAGTGAAGCCAACAGACTTTTAGATCAAAAATGAATTACAGAAGATAAGAAAGAACAAAACACTACTTACCTCTGGTGTTCAAATTTGATTTTCAAATTTCATGTTTGGTTTGATTTTCAAATTATACTGAAACATGAAAACACAATATAAAAGTAGAGGAGGGTAAATTAAAAATATATACCTTATATATTTATTGGCAAGGTCCACAAAATAATAAGATAAGGACATTAAGCCAATAAAGACACAATGCGTTTGTCATTTAATAATGAAAGGAATTGAAGGATATGTATATGTCTGCATACTCACACATGCATCATGAAGGGCATTAGTTGAATCATAGGGCATTTTCAGCAAGGTTGATAGTTATCCAACAACAAAGCATGTCAAGTATGCTAAAATTTCATATAAAAGGTACTAACTCTTAAGAACTTCAATACATTGAGCCAACTGCCAACCAAACTAAGTCAACTTTGATTTTGGGCAGGTTAGGGTCAGAGTTGCAATGCTTATGGTTGAGCTTCAGAATAAAACTTCCCCTCAGAGCCCCAACCGATTGTGCTTGCTTAAAGGTGTCAGCCCAACCAAATCAAACCATGGTTTATATATATAATATAACAGCAAACATACAATGCATAATATAGAATTCATATATATATGTGAGTCATAACTTAAAAGTAGGGATTGAATGTATATTGCCACACCCCAGAACACTTATAACTCATAAAATATCCTTATATACTCAGCCACAATGCTTAACAAATAAATCAAATAGCCTTTGAATCCACTTTTATTTAAAAGGTTTCCTTGAATCCACTTGCTGAGAAATCAAACTTGAAAATGATATACTGATCCATATACATTGATTTTGGTTCTCCTCTCAACCTAACCAACATAAAATAATTCTACCAACTTAACCAACCCATCCTAACTCTAGCTAAAACTAAGGTTGTAACATGAGTTTCCATTAAGCCAGGTCAGATTGTGGAGGTTGGAGATATTTGGAAAAGTATTGAATGCTAATATAGAGTATGGCTAACATCCAACTTAACCTAACCCAAAAAGGTCCTGGCCTTGGGTGCCATTACAAATGATTTTGAAGCTACATCAGTATCTTTTCATGATATTAAGAAGAGAAGGGTGCTTATGATGACCTCGTCCTAGGTCTGTTGCTTATTTATGGAATATTTTCTTGCTTTGCTAAGCTGAAATTGGATACAGATGGTTGCTCTCGTGGGAACCAAGGCTGATGGGTACCATGTAGGATCATGAGTTCTATGTTCTGTTGCTAGTTCTACCACATAGGTTGAGTGATAGTTTTTTGGTGATTGATTTTATTGAGGATGGTGATAGGCGCACAAAGGATGGTTGCTCTCGTGGGAACCAAGGCTGATGGGTACCATGTAGGATCATGAGTTCTATGTTCTGTTGCTAGTTCTACCACATAGGTTGAGTGATAGTTTTTTGGAGATTGATTTTATTGAGGATGGGTGATAGGTGCACAAAGGACCAAAACATGCCATTGAAAGACTTTCTTGAGACAAAGATGGGCTGTCAAGAACATAGAGGAGGTAGCCAATAGCAGTCTGTTCTCACCTATCGATAGCTAGCAGGTTGCTTCCAAGCTTAAACCATTTGAAATTGAATTGCTACTTTTTTTTATACGCAGGTCCTGTCTTGTTCTCTTTTCACCTTTGTAACTTCTCCTACCTAAGGTGCGATGGCTCCGGGTGCCCTAACGAGATTAGCATAGCAGGTCTAAGTCACTCAAAAAGATACATGGCCACTTTATGGGTCAATCAACACACTTGTGGTTCCTTTTCTAAGAGTGCTATTGATGACTATTCTTCCATTCAAAGGGAGTGCAACAACAACAAAAACACTCAGCTGGCTCATGCTTCCTTTGCAACTTTTTCTCTTCACTAATGTCTTCCTTCCCTTGTACTCTATTTTCTCCCTTTTTTTTGTAATCTTTTTTTCTTCTAATAGAGAACTTGCTCCATATTTTTCTCTTTTTCTTTGTTTAAAATGCAATGCACGGTTCAGATTAGACCCGGTTATAACGGGATCCACATTCAAAATAAATCTCAGCTTGTCAATACACTTTCTGTGATCCATTCTATGTTTTTCTATTGTATTCTTAGCATTAGTGTTATATATTCTCTTCAGCAAATAACAATACTGATAATAATGATGATGAACATGATAGATTATTGAAACTCCAGAAACAGCCCAATTTATGAAGGGAAAAGAAAATGAGAGTACAATTCCTCACTTAAATGCTACCAAAGAAAACAATACATCAATGGACAGACTGAATTCAACCAGTGCACTTTGTTAGTTTTCATTGCAAAAGCCTGAAAAAACAGAACTATAGCCAATTCTATTGTTCTATAACAGGAGATGGACAGCTTGTTCCCTCCATCACAGATCATAAAATTCCATGATGAGGAATTCCAATTCTCACAGTATACACACACACACACACAAAAATCGAAAACGGAATTACTACATATGAATAAGAAAGCAGTTACCGTTTTCTTCCCTATACAACGGTTTTGTTTGGCTAAAAAAGTCTTTTAACTCATTTGGTAAACTCAGTTTTGGCTGAAAAGCCCCACTTTACTCACTAATTAATTTCCAGATACTTTCCTTGAATAATAGACTAATGTTTACTGACTAGCTCTGAAAGAAATCTCTAGGCTATGGGGGCTTCCACACTAACTACATGAATACTTAAGAATTATTATTACCCCTCTGTTCAACATAATAGCAGCCAAACACAAAGGCATTGTGCACTCTAAGATTAGTGCTATTCAGCAAGATAACTAGACTGACATCACCTTTTTAATTGTTGGTCATAATCAATCTACTCTGCTTTACTCTAAAGGCACTAAAGTACATGTCCCACAAAAAAACTTAAATCTTCCCTACTAAATCAAAAAATTTGCACAAAATAAAGGGCCACTACTGCAATGAACAAGAGAGCCATCATAATATCATATAATGTAATGTCCAATAATTAAAAGGTTCATTATGTGAAGGCTTTAACCTGATGTAACCCCCGTGCTATACCTACCCCCCTCACACACAAACAAACGAACATAGATCTAATAGAAAACAATGCAGAGCATGAGTAAAATCAAAGCATACAAGCTAGGAGCTTTAAGTTTCCATGAACCACCATAATAGGAAACAAGAGGGACAAGAATTTGAAGCAAAAACTCCACAGTAAAAGTTTCAAGCTTTGAAATTAATAGAAAAACATGTTTTGTTGTGCTGTCTATAGACAACCCAATAGGTTGATTTTTCTATGTTAAAATCAAAACATTTGATCAGTTTCTATTTATAGTTTTCCCTTTTTTGGTGCATATAGTATGGTTCATTTGTAGAGGTATTGCGGTTGTCTATTCCTGTTATTCTAAACTTCGTTTGCACATTTTGTCAAACACTTGGTGAGCAATTGGGTGAAGAACAACAATTGATGAGTAGAGACCAACAACCCACAATATAAAGTATTTCTCTGAACTCCTTGGCCAAAATCAACAAAATAGATGAATTGTTTGATAAATAAAGGAGCCAAAAGCAAATAGAATAACAGAGTATCCATATCTATACTCGTCTAAAATGGTTTTTCTTTTTGAAGTTATGGTGAAGTCAAACAAACAAGATGCTAACAATTCAAATTCAAGATTAATTGTTTTTGATAACAAACACATTTATATACATATATATATATATATATATATTCTTGGCGTGCATGATAAAAAAAAGCGCACACACACACATAGATATATATATATATATATATATGTATAAATTCTTGATGCCCATAATTGTAAAAAAAAGCATTTGAAAGTCACACTCATCCTTGTCATAACAAATACACCACATACACATGTTACATAACGTTGGAGTAACCACCTAACATTGTAAAGCCCACATGAAATTCTTATACAAAATGGAAAAAAGAAAATAAACAGGACAGTTATTTATTTTGATAATTTATTTAATTATGTTTTAATTTATTTGAAAGAGAAAAATAGAATCAAAATTTATTTTGATGATTTATTTGAAAGAGAAAAATAGAATTAAAATTTATTTTGTCCCATTATTTCTCACTTAAACCTTTATCTTAAATGTTATTAGAATTAATTTAATATTTGATTAAATCAGGAGTTCAAACAGCCCAAAACAAAGGTTCAAACAGCCTAGCACAGCAGCAGGCCAAAAGGTTCAAGTGGAAGATATTCAAATTAGTAATGATGGAAGTACAACAGCTATAAACGGCTATAAAGGTTCAAAAGGCCAAAATGTTCAAAAGGTTCAAGTGAAAGATATTCAAATTTGTAATGATGGAGTGGAAGTTATTCAAATTGGTAATGATGGAAGTACAATAGCTATAAACGGCTATAAATTCAAATTGGTAATGATGGAAGTACAACGGCTATAAACGGCTATAAACGAGTATAAATTCAAATGACTACAACGGCTATAAACGACTATAATTTTCATTATATTTACCAAAGCCTCTAATGTAAACAAGTTAAAAAAAAAACCTGAAAATATTCTTTGATCTATAATCACTCACATCTATTCTCAGAAATTATACACTGAGCTTTATAGTTTTAAGCCCATCTTTCCTGTGTGAGATTTACAGAAAAATCAATGCTTCATTTTATATATCTATCTTTGAGGGATATTTATTGTAATCTTTCTTTGAAAGCAAAAATACCATTTCATCATATAAAAGTGTTGCAAACACTATGTTCATGAAATCTTGAGAGTGATTGTGAATCACCTAAGATTTGCAAGGGTTTGGACTTGTGAAGTCTGTGTAAAATGCGTGGAGGATTGCTCCATTTGTAAAGAGGTTGCTAGCACCCCTGTGAAGTTAGAAGATAGTGGAAAATTTCAAGTGAAGCTTGAGGAGTGGATGTAAGCTTGGTTGAAGCCGAACCACTATAAATCTGTTTGTCTCCTCTTTCCTAATCTTTTTACTTTCCTACTACTGCTATAGCTATCTAATATTCATGTGTTAATAATTTGATTTACCCTATGTGTTAGTTATACTTCATTGTTATTTTACTTGATCATTTACTGCTAAGTTCATCATTGTGCTTGTTAATAATTTGTTGTACTAGTAGTTAATTTTATTGGGGCATTATTAATTTTAATTTGTAGAAACCTAATTCACCCCCCTTTTAGGTTGCTTTTTGGGTAACAATTGGTATAAGAGCCTGGGGCTCTTGTTTAGATTTAATGATCTTGAGTTTTTGATCCATAACAACCATGTATTCTACTTACTCTGTTGTAGGACAAGCTAACAATAGGCCACCTCTCTTTGATGATAGTAATTACATTCATTAGAAAGAAAAAATGGTTTTGTATCTTCAAGCTACCAATTATGCTTTGTGGCTCATTATCACTAAAGGTTTTCCCTTCCAAGGTAGTAGACCATATCAGTGTGCCTAAACTTGAGGATGAATTTGATGAGCGCGATTATAAACTCCTTCAAGCTAATGCTAAAGCCAAGCTTATTCTTGTGTGTGGACTAGATGCAAATGAGTACAATAGAATTTCTAGATGTATTACTGTTAAAGAGATTTGGGATAGACTTGAAATCACCTATGAAGGAACTAGCCAAATAAAAAAGTCTTGGATTGATATGCTTATTCATGATTATGAACTCTTTACTATGGAATCGTTTGAATCTATTTCTGAGATGTTTTTATAAATTTACCAATATTATCAATGCTCTAAAATCTCTTGGTAAATCTTATACTAATGGTGAGCTTGTGAGAAAAATACTTAGGTCTTTGCCAAATGAATGGGAAGCTAATGTTACAGCTATCCAAGAAGCAAAAGACCTAACAAAATTAGGCATTGAAGAGCTCCTAGGCTCACTCATGGCTCATGAACTTTCAATGATGGATGGCAGCAAAAAGGAAGCCATTTGGGGAGACAATGATGGAGTAGTCAACCTGTGTCTCATGGCTCTTGGAGAAGAAGAATTCACTCAAGATGAGGTAATTTCTAATTATGTAGAACTTGAAAATGCTTTCAATGAATTACATGACATATTTAGAAATGTTTGTGTTGAGAATTCTAAATTAAAGAAATTAGTTACTTCTCTTTCAAATGATGTGGATGTTTTAAAAATAGAAAATGCTACTTTGAAAAATGACTTTACGTCTATTGCCAATGAGAAAAACATTTTGAAAAACAATGTTTAGGATTTAAACAAAACTCTTGAAAATTTTGTAAAAAGAAAAGAAAACCTCAACATGCTTCTTGGAAATAAAAAATGTGTTTTTGATAAAAATAGGCATTGGTTTTGATCCTCTTAAACCTTTTATGAAATTAAATGTTCTTGAGACTAATCCCTATGGACCCAAGAAAGTATGGGTACTAAGAAAGAAATCAAGATATTTTGTAGGTGGAATCTCAAAGAA